GCGGCCAAGTTGGGGCCCCGGCTCCAGGATCTGAAGCCTGTTCCACGCACCCGAGACTCCTCCCTGCCGCATTCGCCCGTCCTTGTCGGAAATAGGGAAGAAGCTGACTTTGAACTCGGGAGCGGTGTTTTCTCCGGCCACCGGGGGATGCGCCCCCCACGGTGCGCCCTCAGCGCACACCTGGGCACTGCCCGCCCCCGGGGAGCAGCGCGGCCCTTTGTACCCGCCTCCAGCTCCTCGGAAGAGGGCATTTGTGCCCCAAGACAGCGAGGCGGCCCCCCGGGGGCTGGGCCCAGAGCCGGACCCCAGCAGATTTGTGCACCTTCTTGGATATCCAGGTGTCACCCCTCACTATATGTCACTGGCTCCGGAATGACTTTTCTGAGCCTGCTCATGGACAGAAACAACCTCAGAATGTGGAAAATCCAGATGGCCATTCTGACCAAACAACCTCCTGATGCCTGACCGGCCTGTGGGAACCACCCAGTCCAGCAAGTGTCTGTCTTCAGGCACTTTCATTGATAGGACACTTTCATTGGTCAGAAGCCCACAGACTCCTGGGCTGAGTGCATGTTGGGAGGCACTGCCTTTCTGTGCTCTCTTCCCAAATGTTTACCCACCCCTGGTTCAGCCCTTGGGTCCCTACAGATCCAGTCTGATCTCTTCCACAGAGAGCTTTTTAATTTTTTTATTGATTGATTTTAGGGAGAGGAAGGGAGAGAGAAACATCGATTTGTTGTTCCACTTATTTGTGCATTCAGTGGCTGATTCTTGTGTGTCCCAACCATGGATCTAACCCCAACCTTGGCATATGGGGAGGATGCTCTAACCAACTGAGCTACCAGGCCAGGATCCACAGAGAGCTTTTTAAATATTTGAAGGCAGCCACATATGCTATCTTGCAGCACCTCTTTGTATCATGATTAAATGTGTGTCCTTCCAGCTTCCTGGTGTGCCCCCACTGGCCTTCCTGGGCCTATTCCTTTCCTTCATTCCAGTCAAGCAGAGCTTGGGGCTAAGAGGTTGTGTAGGCAGACCCCTTCCCCCAATTAGGCCATGAATAGTTCACACTAGCCTGATTTTTCTGAACGAATCTTGCTTGCAGACATGGAGTCCACAGCCTTCCCTCTGAATCTGACCCTGAAAGTGGAGGAAAGGGAAGAAGAGATTCAGAGCCCAGAACTGGAGGATGGCTCCACAGACATGCAGAAGGTCCGCATCTGCTCAGAGGGCTCATGGGTAAGTCAAGGTGCAGGGCCACACAGCTGAGCAACAGGCCTGGGAGTCAGGACGCCTCCTCCTGCTGCCGACAAAGGAAGTAAAAACAGCCCAGCCCAGCTTAGGGTGTTTGCATTCCTGAGAAAACAGTGCTGTGGCTTTAAAAGGCGCTGTGAAAACAGAGCTGGTTACCTGAGCAGGCCCTTCTGTCCAGGAGGCCAAGTGTCTGCTGAACCCCTGGGTTCCCTGCCCCCTGCTCACTGCCAGGCAGTTATGGACTCCACTAGATGTTTGCTGACCTATGTTAAAGAAAAAATGCTCTGACAGTTGTTACCATGGTAAGGAAGGATCTATTCAGGACTACTGAGAAAGGTGTTGAGATGTCACAGTAGGGAACAGAGATCTGCCTCCACACCCCATACAGTGAAGATAAGTGGAGATTTATAGCCAAGAAGCAGGGTGTTAGGGTCAGTGGATGAAAAAGTACTTAGGATGGGGGATTCTTGCTAAACTGTCAGCACAGGATACTTGCTGAAGGCAGGCCAGGGTGGGGGGTTTTCTAAACTGACTTAACAGGATTCTTGCTAAAACTGAGCTGGCAGGCTGAGTACAGGAGGGGACCTCACAGGGAAGAGGACTCAGAGGAGCCTGGCTCAGGTTTGGGTTAGGAGAGAGTCTGTGTCACCTGCTGCTAGTTGAAGGGAACTGCTTTCAGTGAGACTTGGGGTCCCTGAGCTGACGGGGGAAAGCGCATACCCAGCCAGCCTGGATGCAGGGATTGGGGGGTTGGCAGCTGAGAATGGGGAGCATATCCAGACAGAATAGTAGGAGAGAATTTGGGTAAACTTGTAAAAATGTCAATGCAACAGATAGAGTTATAATTAGCTATAATTATTCACGTTACTTACTGGACCTCTTGGTAGTTGGGTGTGAACGGTAAACATTTTATGTAACAATTTGACGTTCCTTTTCTCTGCCTAGTTTTCCTTTTCTTATGAATGTTATCAGTACCATCAATATTATCATATCCTTTGTTTCCATGAGATCTGTAGTCAGACAATCGTGGTGCCACCCAGTCATCTGGCTCCCCTCCCATGTGAGGCAACTGGACTGCAGGGAGGTTATTTTTTGTCCCAAGGGTACACATGTACACTGATTCTTCCTAAAATGCCTCCTGGGCTGGACCCTTAAAAGTTACGCATTTTGCTGTGTGTATGTCGTATCTCAACAACATAAGATAAAGATCTAACACACCGCCAGGCTCTGGGTTGCGGGTCTAGCTGTGGAGGCTGCACTGTCTCTGTCTCTTCCGTGTTCTTGCCCATCTGTCCGCCTGGGTCTGATCCCTGCAGCTGGGGACACCAGGAGGGCAGGTATTGGTCCCGGGTAGCTCGGAGCAAGACGTCGAGGCAGTAGAAGCCCTGGGCTTTGAGGCTAAATCAGCCTACCCAGCACATCTAGGTAGAGTGGAGAACCTTGGAAACAGGTGCAAAGAAAGTAGTTGTCTGAACGTGTGGGGACAGTGAGAAATGTACAAGGTGAAGGCCACGCTCCCCCAGGGAAAGGAGGAAGTAAATAGAACAGTGCTGGGAGCTGTTGAGACAAGACCTCCATTCTCATGGAGTCTCTGTTCTCACGAGGAAGACAGGGAGGCAAACCATTAACAGTACAGTTTTAGGGGTGCAGTGGTGGAGGTCAGCTCCTGGCGGGGGTGTCACACTCAGGCTGGACAACTCAAGAGGCTTCCTGGAGAAGGCCGGCTTGGGCCTGGGCAGTTGTGCCCCCAGCTCCCTCCCCTCCCGGGGCCATTTGGCAAGATCTGGAGACATTTTTGTGTGTCATGACTTGGAGTGGGGAGTGGGAGATCTTGCTGGCATCTCCTGGATGGAGACCGGGATGCTGCTGTACATCTTCAGTGCACAGACAACCCACAACAAAGAATGATCGGAGCAGAAATGTCAGTTCTGCTGAGGTTGGAAGCCGTGATCTAGGGCCTTAAACCAGGGGGAGAAAAGAACCCGTTTCTCACCTGTATTTTGCCTGTAGGGTTGTGTGAGGGTGATCAGTGAAAACCTTGCAGATATAAGCACCGTGCTGGCTGTGAGGAAAATCAGGGTGGAAGTGCAACGTCAAGGAAAGGAAAGGATACATACTTTGAAGCCAGCTGTCGTGAGTGGATCCCCCCAAGGGGAGGACAGGGCTCCTGTTTCTGGCCTGAGGAGGGCCCGAGCAGAAGCCCGGACAGGAGAGCTGTGGGCAGAGCTGCAAGCAGCACCTGGAGACAGAACCCGAGACTGTGGGGATGAGCTAGAAGTGGGCCAGGCTAGGGGCCAGGAGGGGTTGGTATGCTGGGCAGAGTTGGAGCCCTCTCCTTGGTGGCTCTGGGGGACAAGGCTCACTGCATCTTTCTGAGGGAAGCTGGAGGCCTGAGCCGCCTGAGCACGGGCTTTGGAGTCAGACTTTCTCGCTCTGTGCCTTTGGGCTTGTTAGTTAACAGCTCTGTTCCTCCCCCATGAAAGCAGGGTGATCCCACATCTCTGGGTCATGTGAAGGGTTCAATAAGATAATATACATAAACTGGGGGGGGGGATTCTTACACAGTGCCCTCTGCCCAAGATCACTGCCGCCTTCCCTGTGAGGCTGCGCAGTGTGTGTAGGTGCTGTAGGCACTGACCCTGGAGATGAGCCTTGGGATGCCAGCCTGCTGGGCAGCAGGGCTGGGGGAAGACACCTCCCCTATGTGGCCAGGATGGTCAGAGTGAAGGGAGGAGGGCAGGGAGGGGCGAGCGCCCCTCCCTGCGAGGCCAGGAAGGGCACCTGGGGTGGACCTCAGGCTGCCCGACCCCTGAGTCTTGCCCAGGGCTGGCCAGAGAAAAGGCCTTTATGGAGGGAGGGAGGCGGCATGGCAGGGCCTAGTGAAGCCCTGCTCGGCTGTCAGAGGGCGGCTGTGAGGGGATGTCTGGGTGAGCGCTGTGTGCCCCGGGAGCATAATATGGGCTTGTTTGAAGCTCCTCTGTGGCTCGGGCACAAGTACCAGGCGATGAGCCCGCACCAGCCTCCAGCCGCCGCCCCAGCTCAGGCGCCGGATGTTTTCACCAGGCCCAGGGCGTGCTGCCTTCTCTGAATCCATTGCTCCTTGAAATGACAGGACAGCCAGCCCTGCGTCCCATTTTATCAGCAAAGGGAAGGGACTATAAATAGGTATGGCCTGGATCTGGAATTTCCTCGGGAGACAACGGGCCACAGGGAGCCTTGCTGAAAAGCCTGGGAGGTGGGGCAGGGCTGGCTCTCCAGACACATGGAGTCCGAGGACAGCCTGAGACCCGGCCGCCCGTCCTCCTGGTATTTCACACGTAAGGAGGGGTTTTTGTCCACTCTTACTCCAAAGTCTGGGCACTGTTCCATGTCAGATAAAATGTAACGGTCATTTGGAACTATTCCAAGTGGAGCAAGAGAAGGGAAATTCGGAGAATATTTGCTTAAATCTTTTCTTCCAAAATATACTTAAGTGATTAGGGAAACCAAACGGGAGGAGCCCAGGCTCTGCCCTCAGTGGGCTTGTGTTCTAGTGGGAGAAAGGGACACGGGGACTGAAGAGGGTGGTGTGAGGGGTCCCACCACAGAGTGGAGCCCAGGGCATGAGGGGGATGTGGAGGCGGGCAGCCCTGGTTGGGTGGGCTTTCCAGGGAGTGGGGCGTCTGGGTGGGTATTGGCCAGGCCAGGAACAGGCGGCCCTTGGAGGAAGTGGAAGAACTGTGTGCAGGGGCACAGCCGGGTGGAGCATGGGTTGCTGGGGTACAGCTGAGCACAGAGGGAGGGGAGAGTGGAGGCCCGGTCCCCGAGGAGGCCCGGTCCCCGAGGAGGCCACTTGGTTCTGTTAAGGGCTGGAGGCTGGAAGCCAGTCAATGCTTGGTCCCACTTATTGGCTGTGTGATTTTAGACAGAAACGAGCCCTCTGAGCCTGTTTCCTCCTTGATTAATTGAAGTGGTTGCAGGGAACAGTGAGTGAATCCCAGGGCAGTCCCTGGGAGTGCTCCCTGTGTGTCGGGTGCTGGGAGGGTAGGGAGGGAACAAGTGGATTTGCAGAGAAAGGAGAGGCCAGTGTATCTAAACGGCTGATGGCTGACACCTGAAGAAGTTGCAGGCCTTGCAGACAGTTAACCTTCTAAGCTGATGAAAATGTCATCGTCATCACCCAGACCCTAGATCCAGCTTTGGGAATAGTAGTAATCGAGGTAACCAGCCTGAAAGAAGTGGTCCAGTGATTCCTTACTATTGAGTGCAATGACCTTTGGAGTAGGATTTTTAGTAACCAAAGGAAAAAAAGTAGTAAAAAGAAAAGCAAATAGTTGAATAAGCAAGATGAGGCGTGGGTGGCATGGGCTCCGGAGCTGCTGGGTGTCCCCTCCCACCGGGGAATGAGAGGGGCAGCCCACACATTCGGCTCTGTGCTCCGGTCCAGGCACACACGTTTGCTCTGGTGTCTCATTAACACACTAGGCTGTCAGCCCTCTGTCCTGCTTGTGCGCCGTGGGAAAGGCTGGGCGGCCCTTCTGTTGCTGGCTCCTCGCTGGCTGCTTTGGGGTCAGAGTCTAACACTAGGGCCAGTGGGAAATGGAGACCAGTGTCCTGGAACCTCTGAGGTTCAGACAGAGCAGTGGATCATCCAACATACAACCAAACCCAGCCCCGGCCGAGGGTCTGTGCCCTGTGACCGAGGGAGAGAGCGGGGCGGGGATGAGTGGGTGTGGGGACCGCTCTCAGGGTGTCTCTGGGTGTCACCGTCTGGCTCTGGAGTGAGGGATGATCAGCTCTCCCTGGCATGCAGGAGGGTCTCCCAGCTGGGGATTGGTGACTGGGGGTTTCCCCTCGAGGTGCTGCTCCCCTTGTCTGCGAGCTGGGGGGTGGTAAGCACTCAAGGGGCATGGGGACCTGTGCTCCAGTCCTGTTTTGCCTCTAGCGTCCGTGTGGGCAGATAGATGATTCCCCAGGTCAGGGCCCCTCCTGGAGAGACGGAGGTGTGAGTCACTGCATGTGCCTGTTAGTCGCTGAGAGCAGCCTGTTCCGTCCCAGGTGCCAGCCCTGTTTGATGAGGTGGCCATCTACTTCTCCGACGAGGAGTGGGAAGTTCTGACGGAGCCACAGAAGGCCCTGTACCAGGAGGTCATGAGGATGAACTACGAGACTGTGCTGTCACTGGGTAAGCCTTGTGTCCCTTTGTTCCCCGAAAGCTCAGCCCACCAAGTTGTTTCCATGTTTCCTCGGCGTGGACCCAGCACCCCTCGCTCCTGAACTTGGCCTCTGTCCCCTCGATGCCAGTGCCCGCTTAACTTCCTGTTAAATGGAAGGATGTAAATATTGTGTCATTCTACTCAGTAACTGGTGCTGGTCTCATAACAGTCCTCATTCAACCCAGGCATTTGCCTCAAAAGACCAGAGTCAGAACCTCAGAGATGTCAGCGCGGGTCTGGGCTGTGGTGCACGTGCTCCTTGGCTCATTGCCACTCATCGGCCTCAGAAGCTCAGGGACGTACCCAAAGCATCCTTGCTCCCTGCCAGCCTTGACTTCCAGGTTATCAGAATGTAACCATTGGAGGGATTCCCTGGTTTGCTAGGACCAGCTCGTTAGCAGAGATCCATGAATTCCCTTGGACAGGCATTTCCCATCATATTTTTTCTTTAAGTATTCCGAGCCCCTTTCCCTGTTTTTTGTAAGTCTCCATATTGAGAGGACTGGGGTGGGGGTAAGTGTTATAAGGGACTGATTTGGGCAGTACTCCCAACCTGTGTTACTTCCTCTGGACAGAATTCCCGTTCCCGAAGCCAGACATGATCTCTCGGCTGGATGGGGAGGAGGAATCTCAGAATTCGGACCGATGGCCACTCCCAGGAGGAAGCTTCGCAGGTACTGCGGTCAAACTGACCCAGCACCCATCGAGTGGGAGCTTCACCAAGCAGGGTTAAGTTTCCATGTTTGTTCTGTGGCTCATGTGAGAGTGAGGCAGGGCTGCAAGGCAGAGAACTAATGGGCTTTGGAGTTTGAAAAATCTCCTTTCCAGTGCTGTGTGGCCTCAGGCAACTTCTTTGACCACTCTGAGCCTCCATGTCTTCTCTGTCCTCTGTGGGTACGAAGTCTCGATGTGCAACCTTGTATGCCGGCGAAGCAGACTGAAGCTTGTGTGGCACTGGGTCCAGCACACATCCTGGGTGAATGAAGCCACCTCATTGGTGCTCTGTACCCCTCTGATGACTAGGGAAAACCGTGTGACGAGGCATGTGTCCCGAGTTACTCCCTTGGCTCCTTGTCCACTTCACCCTGGATAGAAAAGGCAGTCCTGGGTGTAGCACACATTTGAGCAAACAGGTCTCAGAAGCACATGGTCCTTCATCAAGAAGCATGTCAGGAGGGTAGCCGTTGGCTGAATACAGCTTCCAACAGCCTGGATGGTTTTATTTGCCTTCTCTGTATAGGTAGGAGTTTAAAATCCATATTTCATTGATTCTGAGACACGGTTCCCCCCTACCACTTGAACATCTCTGAAATTGAGAATGCCTCTTAAAGTTACCCTGCGTCTTGCAACTGATGACATCTTAGTTTTGGTGAGATGGTAATTTCCGAGTCATACTCAGTGTCTGTGACCCCCTTCTGCATATAAACACAGGAAACTCGGTTCTAAAGTTGGTGCACGAGAACCTCTCCCCTGCCTTAGGAGCTTAGCTCTGCTGAGTGTGGTTCCTGCTGTAGATTCTCTTGGTTTGAGGATGTGGTTCAGCCATGACATGTCCACAGTCTTCAGTATTAGGCAGTAAGGGGTGTATTTGGCTTCTCATACACATAAGAATTATTTTGACCCAAATGTGGCCCCCCGATTACAGTGTGACCCAAGCTCGATACCTGTGCCCAGTTCTTTGCTCTTTCTAGCTCGGCTACCTTGACGCACTTAACTTCCACGGCCTCCTCTGCAGAGAAGGGATAGTGACCCACAGTGGCTATGAGAGTTGGACGTGGTGACCCGGAGGAAGTGACACCTGCCTGAGGACATAGGAAATGTCATTTGTTACTAGTTACTACTTGTGGGGAGTCGCAGATTAAGGTGTTCTTGGCATTTCCACCGACAAAGTCAGGGAGCAGGCCAGATGTAATTGTACTTACTGCTGTTATCTTCGCCCCTCCCTGTGTGTCTCCCAGAAAACGAAGAGGCTGATGTCAAGCCCCCAGACTGGGCAGGCCCGATGCACTCCGCGTCCCCATTTCCCCCGCCGCAGCCCCTGGACGGCTTTGGCCTCCGCCTGCCTCGGGACATCGCCGAGCTGCCTGAGTGGAGCGAGGGGTACCCCTTCTACATGGCCATGGGCTTTCCGGGGTACGATATCTCGGCCGATGAGCTGGCCGCCAAGTTCCAGTTCAGCCGAGGCATGCGCCGCAGTTACGATGCGGGGTTCAAGTTGATGGTGGTGGAGTTCGCTGAGAGCACCAACAACTGCCAGGCGGCCAAGCAGTTTGGTGTGCTGGAAAAGAATGTTCGAGACTGGCGCAAGGTCAAGCCGCAGCTGCAGAACGCCCATGCCATGCGGCGGGCTTTCCGAGGCCCCAAGAACGGGCGCTTCGCTCTGGTGGACCAGCGCGTGGCCGAGTACGTCCGGTACATGCAGGCCAAAGGGGACCCGATCACCAGGGAGGCCATGCAGCTGAAAGCCCTCGAGATCGCCCAGGAAATGAACATTCCAGAGAAAGGGTTCAAGGCGAGCTTGGGCTGGTGTCGCAGGATGATGCGACGGTATGACCTGTCGCTGAGGCATAAGGTGCCCGTGCCCCAGCAGCTGCCCGAAGACCTGACGGAGAAACTCGTCACTTACCAGCGCAGCGTCCTGGCCCTGCGCAGGGCGCACGACTACCAGGTGGCTCAGATGGGCAATGCGGATGAGACGCCAATCTGTTTGGAGGTGCCCTCCAGGGTGACTGTGGACAACCAGGGCGAAAAGCCTGTCTTGGTCAAGACGCCCGGCAGGGAGAAGCTGAAGATCACAGCGATGCTGGGGGTCCTGGCCGATGGCAGGAAACTGCCTCCCTACATCATTTTGAGGGGCACGTACATCCCCCCCGGGAAGTTCCCCAGCGGGATGGAGATTCGCTGCCACCGCTACGGCTGGATGACGGAGGACTTGATGCAGGACTGGCTGGAGGTGGTCTGGAGGCGGAGGACGGGCGCCGTGCCCAAGCAGCGCGGGATGCTGATCTTGAACGGCTTCCGGGGCCACGCCACAGACTCGGTGAAGAGCTCCATGGAGAGCATGAACACCGACATGGTCATCATCCCGGGCGGCCTGACCTCGCAGCTGCAGGTGCTGGACGTGGTCGTGTACAAGCCGCTCAACGACAGTGTGCGGGCCCAGTACTCCAACTGGCTTCTGGCGGGGAACCTGGCGCTCAGCCCCACCGGCAACGCCAAGAAGCCGCCCCTCGGGCTCTTCCTGGAGTGGGTCATGGTCGCGTGGAATAGCATCTCGAGCGAGTCCATCGTCCAGGGGTTCAAGAAGTGCCACATCTCCAGCAGCCTGGACGAGGAGGACGACGTCCTGTGGGAGATCGAGGGCGAGCTGTCGGGCGGAGGGGAGCTGCCCCCCGAGAGCAGGACAGAGAGCAACTGACGCACCACCAAGGTAACCGCCGCGAGCACCGCTGTCTCGCCGAGCACCGTGCTGGGTTCCACAGGTGCCTGTTGTCTCGTGTAACAGGCCCCTGGCATTCTCTCCTTCATGGGAGGCGTAGCTGGCTTCCTGTGTGTCCTTGGCTCTGTGGCCAGACCCCGAGCACCTGTGTCTAGTGACGTAACATGGACGAGGGGTCAGCTGCTGGGACGTTTCCCGTCAGCGCTGTGATGCTGAAGTCCCCTGGGCCTGAGGAGCAGTCTGACTGCTGGGTTAACTGAGTTTTGTCTGAAAAGCCCACTTTTTGTTTCTCGCTGGCCTGGAGGGCTGGGATCTAGGGACAGTCCTGTCCCCTGGGCCTCGGATCTCAGACCTGGGTGGTCTGCGGGAGTCCCCTGGGCGATGAGAAGAATCACTTAGGCTCGCTTTTCCCACCTTTTTCAAGCATCGTCTTATCCTTCGTGATGACCTTCTCGTGGAGTGAGCAATTAATTCCTTATAATCCTTGGGTGTCTGAAGGAAGATATTTTTAAATTGACTCTTTGCACCAAAAAATACTCCTAATGATAAAAAAGCCGGGTGCATATCTAGGGCTGTGAGCGAAGTCCAAGGGTGAGGGTGCCAGGCTGCAGTGGTCAGAGTTGAGTCCGGGAGAGAAGCAGCTCAGATGGAAGTAGTGGGGAGTCGGGCCGACCGCCGCCAGCCCCCGGCCTTGAGAGGATGCCGGGCACAGTAGGGGGCACACAGGAAGGACAGGCGGTTCACTTTTCCTTCACGTTCCCGTTTCTCTAAGTGTCAGTTCATTTGTTCCTCCCAACAGTGTTTGTTGAGCACGATGCGGCCGTCCCTTTTACAGGGACCGAGACTTCCTTCTAAGGGGTAGTGAGGGGCTTCCCTCCTTTTAGCTTGTCCCTCCAAATGAAATGCTGATAGAAGTCTGCCACCCGCTGCATACGGTCAGCAGTGACTCTGTCTCCTTCCCTGCCCCGAAGTCAAGTCGTGCTCACGTGGCTGAGCCCCGCGGCCACAGTGGGGTCCCTAGAGTTACAGCGGAACCAGGGAGTTCTTACTGTGACATCCGGAATCTCCAAGGTTGCCTTCTTCCATCCTGTCCCCTCCCCCCCCTGC